GCACTCCGGAGAAATCACCGAAATTTAATAATAAAACTAGAACCGCATCGCCGCCCAAGCTCGTCGAACCAGAAAACTTTAGTGATTTTGGTATGTGAGAAGACAGTGGTGATTTGGAGCTGTGTTAGTTGACTTGACAATGATCCAAATCTTTCAACGGATGAGATTTGGTCAAAACATTGCTTGAACTGATCTACTCTGTTCTTTTCGGATTGAACTGTAGGTGGATGAATCAGTGAAAGCCAAGAAAAGATGATTAAATTTGGGCTTATTTCGATGAGATTCCCCCTCTATTATCTACAACGAGATGTCACATCCTCGTGTCAAAGTAAGACGATTCTTTTATTGAACATACGGGCTAAGCGGCCGGGGAAAATCAAATTTCGTATTAGACACAGCATATTTGATGGCTAAACAAAGACGTGCCACAAATGGAATAACTGAATTGAAGACGTTTTTTTTAACAGGCGAAAAAGAAAAAAAATCAAATAACACAGGTCAACTGTGTAGTATAAATCATTGTCGATTGATTGGATGGACATGAGTAAAACTCTTGAACATTGACAAGAGCGCTTGAGGACAACAGCCGTTATGTAACCAAGCCTTGATTCGACGGTGGCAGAAGTGGGATTTGTTTTGGTCGACCAAATATAGGATATTTTTTCTCTGTTTCTAAGCCAAATTCCCTTCAGCCGAACTCATGAAATCTTAACTCGAAGCTGTCCGATAGAACCAAGTTCTTATACTCCTCGTGTTATCTGACAGCAGGAACACGTATGAGTCAAAGTCCCATCTGTTTTTGAACAATTAACATACAGAGCAGCGTTACGAACACGCGAATTTTATTACTTGAAGCAGTGCAAAACGAAATGAGTGGAAATTCAACGGGTTGTTCGAGAGACCTTGACATTGGAAATAACATGGCGTAAATTCTACAAAAGCGCGGGTAGATCCCACAATAATACGAGTGAGTTAATAACATAAAGAAGTTTTGGGTCAGAAGTAATGAATAAAATATGAAACCTTGAACAAAATCAAAACATTTTTCCATCGAGACCTCTGCTTAACAACAAGACTAAAGGAATATCGGTAAGTAAAATCAAAATCTTTGAATTGCCGATGAAGCTTAAACGTCGTCAATTTGCTCTATGAAATGAATTCTCGTTTTTGGCTTCTTCTCAATAATGCGCCCAAAGAGAATCGACAGAGGTCCAAAGATAAACAAGACCGTCAAGAAGGGCTGCGATTGGACAGTGTAAAAGCTGTGTGCGACCGCATTCAGGACAGCTGATTTCACGATTGATTTTTTGAAATCTTCATCAATATAAATTTAGATAGAGTGTGTTGAAAATCAGGGATTTCCTTTAAATGTTCGGAATGGTTTATATTCTTTTTAAACTATCACAAGAAGTATTCTCACAGTAGAATAGCGCACAATTCGCGTTAAATGTCTTCCATCAGGAAACAATCCAAGTTAGAAATTATTGCTATTCTATGCCACGAAAAAAATGTTGAACATTTCAAACAACTGTATGGAGACGATTTTTACATTATTTAAGATACTAAGTACTACAAAGTAAATCCAACAGAAAATGGACATAGCAGAATTAGATAAACAAAATCCAAATTGGATGCACGAGATATTCCCGATCTTGATGGAAGTTTGTGGTTGTATTGCGGTGAATTTATAAAGAACCAGAATAATTTTTAGCACTTTGGCCTGCTGGAACACTGGGAAAGGCGCCCATAGGCCAGCATGCTTTGTTAATATTTGACAGTATATTATTATAGCTCCTTTGCCGTGTGTAACCACCCCATGCCAGTGTGCCAAAATTGAGGCGAGCAACCATACCAGCATCGGGAAAATTCAATTATCTAGAATCAGAAATCACAATAAGTCGTCTTTACTGGGCAATTCACTCAAAATAATAGGGTTCTATTATGTTTTCCGATACATTTTTAACGGACTTTTTTCCTATTGGAAAAGTGCTAATATTTCCGTCGAGCCAATCTGTTGGGATATATCTTCTGATTCAAATTAAATGAGCTCGGTGTTTTTCAGAATTTTGCATGGAATGTTTATTTTATCTCCCTACAAATAGCTTTATTTTATGAATTTTCAATGAAGATACGTTATACATCATATATTATTAGTCGGTCATGCTCAATGTTTTTACTTGTGTGTTTTCTTGTGAGCAAAGGCAAAAAAGCTCGAACCGTTGGTCCAAGCTCGATTTTAATACTCCCTTTATATGTCTATAAATAGGTCAAGGCCACGTGYTATCTTAAAATAGATTAAGATCACGTGACCAAATAGCATGTCCCATATCATGGTCACGTGAGCTGTACATTTCTGGAGATCACGTATGTTCAAATTTACACGATTGACAGCAGCCACAGAAAAATCCAGTGAGCTTCTAAAAATAGCTCCAGGTCACGTGACCAATCAATAGCATGACGATATCGAATGCAGTAGAACTTTATAGTAGACCGTAAAACGACCTTCAACATTTTGAATAACCGTCTGTGGTTTAAAATGGGGTTTGGCACCTGTCACTCAAGTCTACCTATGTCGAACTTATATCGGCCCTATATCGATTTGAACCGAATTCCTTACCGACCACCTTTGAAGAGCGATATTAGTATTTACTTTCTTTGACAATTTAAAAGAAGCTGTTTTTCTCTGTCAATGGTTGTCATTCGTGACGCATCGCATGGACTTCCTGTTTGTATAGTTTAATCAAAATTCTTTTAATTGACTTTTTTATGAAGGGTTAATGTGTTTCTTAATTTTATATCGTTTACATTTTTTATTTTTTTTTCTTGCACTGCTCATGGTTTTTTTGATATACACGTTCGTAAAAGGATCGTGATTGTTRTCAAGGAGAATAGCTTGCTCTTTTCGGACCTAATTATAACAATTAAATCAATATTTTTTCAATGGTTTGAATATATCAAGGTGGTCGGTCATGTTTATTATTTCAGTGGTCGATATGAGAATGGTCGATGTATTGAGTAGTAGTATGGTCAAGAGTTTGAATATATGGCCGGTTTTGAACGGTCGATGTTGTTGTTGAATGATCGGTTTACGGACAACTTATATATTAATGGTTCTAGCTGCATTCTTTAATCCAAAACTAGATACAACTTAAAAAGATGTTTTTTAAATAACCAAATGCTATGTATTTGAGGTGAATTTCATACCGTCTTATTACATGTACTTGTGGTAAATAATATGAATTAATTATACTAAATTAACATAAATTAATAGTAATTATAATAGTAATATTCATTGTAACATGAAAGGGTTATGTGCAATAATTGTGCAGTTTGTACATTTTTAAAATTTTATGCCAGTCTTATTTGTATATTTCTCATTTGGAATTTTTATTACGAAACATCAACTATTTTCAGAGACCGGAAGTAGAAAGGTTCAACGCATGCGTAGTGGTCATAAATATCAGGAGAGCAATATATTGAAGTACTAGATGCTGTCGATCGGGATAAGAAAATRTTCTGAATTACAATATATATGAAAATTGCAACAGCAATATTGCTTTTGCAATCTTAAATGCCGATATACGTTAAGAGTAATTGACTACTAAAAATTCTAATGCAAGTGGGCTTAGCCTCGAATCTATGTGTTAATTGATTGTGTATTCAAACGTTTCTCATGCTTAGGAACGAGGCTATTCCCAATTGCGCTGAAATTTTAGGAGCAGTAAAGATTAACTTAATCGGAGTTTAACAATATAGCTCAATAACGATGGTGTGGATGGGCGCGTTGGGAAATTAAACAATCATGAGTTTAAATAAAAGTTTTTTCCTTTAATCACTCCCTTGAAAGATCTTTATCCCAACGTGCGCAGCCATATTATCAATATTTATGATTTCAACAAACTTTGTTATTCCTATATACTATGACCCTACGCATGACTATATACGTTTTCGTTGGCGCTAACCACAATGAAGTGCTTATGGCGCATGTGCATATTTAGAAAATCTCATTAATCAGGTCTCTACAATTTTTTGGAAAATTTCTTAAGATTGRAAATTGTGAAAGGGAAAACAAGTATATTGGTTAAATACCGATGTATATTAATAAAATGCTTTTGTTTCAAGAATATTGATGTTGTTATTGCCTGGACCTCCAAGCGCCGACCCACGTCCTTCGCACACGATGGGTGGGATTCTCTGTGTTAGGGAGGGCAGGAGCAACGATGCAAAAACATCTAAACTTTTTTTCCCCTCTCTTCCCATTTTTCTGAATTCCCGATTTCAGAGGCAAAGTTTGTCGCATTCTGGATCCATGTCATGGTGCGATTCATTGAGTATTTTCTCGTTCAAGCATCTCTTTCTCATGATGGGCTCCCTGTCCCTTCCAAAAGAGGCTGAACTTCCCAAGAAAATGAAAGTTCGTCCGAGTTCTAGTTCTTTAAAGTTGTTAACTAGAGATTCAGTGTTTCACAAGAATTAAAGATCTTTTAACCAAGCCAGTCAAGCCTCTACCTTTTCTAAGTCCCTAACATTATTTCTGGCGGGTCAATCAGGGTTTGCATAATTTTTAACCTCTTTGGTGTAAAGCAATAGTTTACAGATAGATCACTTGACATTTCAAGAGACAATGAAGTTAACTTTCAAGAGACAATGAAGTTAATTGAGTCGTAACTATATTCTTTAGCAACCAAAAAATAAAAAAATCAACTACCCGTCATTGCGTGTGCTTCTGCACATATAAGAAGTAAAACGAAGTATAACTATTTACATGATAATTGGATAAGTACAGCGCTATCTATCATCCTTTTTAATACATTTAATTTCTCTGACCCTTTTTCAAGACCAGTACAATAGCAAATGAACTTTTTTGAAAATATTAGTGTTTTATTGACAGCAAAAGCAAAAGCCTCGGGAGAATATTACGTTACAAGGTTTAGTGTTTCGTGACGTTTGCACAATAGGTGACGTCAAGAGTTGGCGCGTATTATTACCTTGATCCTGATTGGTATTTTGTTATTTTGCTGTAAACACGACCGGAACATGAAGTACGAGTACACTGGGAATGGCGCGTTTTTTTCCTCTAATACTTCTTACGTTTGGTGTTGGATTGTTGATTTGTGACAACGTCGTGAATGCTTGCTCATTAGACATTGAATGTCTTCATTTCGAACATTGTTGCAAAGGAAATTGTACATCAAAACGACTCCAATGTAAGCACATCTGTAGTAGTGACCATGACTGCGATAGTAATAATAGGTGTGTGTTGGGACTGTGTGTTAACTGCACGGACCAGATTTCCTGCGATTACAAGAGCTGTATCAACGATACACACTGCCCTGGAACTCATTCMTGTAAGGATAAAGTRTGTTTCTTGAAAAAGAAGGGCGATTTAACGTCGGAAATGCTTCCATTCATTATCTTCATAACTGCGTTGTCCGTGTCGTTACTCATTGTTTGCTACAATGACTACATTTTAGAACGTTTAGGACACCGTGGTTGTTTGGAATGTTTGGAAAACAGAATCTGTCATTGTAGTTTGTTTCTGAAGATTTGGATGTGGAGACAYCAACGTTTACAACAGCAGAGAAATGATGAATTGACCCCTTCGTGCCCTGTAGAGGTCCGSTTTGATTCTCGGATTGTTAACCCGTCAAACTCGTCTAATGAGAAGCGAGAAACCAGTTTGTTTGGGTCCTTAGCCTCTCTTAAAGGGCGGYTAATGTTTTGGCGACGGTTTGATGGAAGTACACAATCGAACAACCGATCRAACTACACGGAAGAAACACTCGAAAATACAAATACTGTGTCGAAYAATCAAATGGTTTCTCCAGTAGTTTTACTTAATGAATTCATGAATACTAATGAAGTTGTTTCAGGAACTTCAACTACTACACAAATGGTTTCGAATTCGATCAATCATTCTGGAATGTCTGAAATCAGAAAACATTCGCTTCAGGATCGAAACTTCAGCAGTAAACAGGCTAAGGATTATTCATGTCCTGGCGAAGTTACAGCTCCGTCGTCACACTTGAAAAGCGACGACGTCAATGTWAACACAACAAATGGAGATACAAATTCGATTAAAACGGAGTCACACTTCGTAACCATAGTTTAAAGCACWGATTCCCTATGAGATATGGACTTTTATTCTGATATAAAGTTATGATCAGTTTTGGCAAGTTTGATATACTGCGGATATAATACGATTGTGGTACGTTTCGATGTAAACAACGTGGTAAAACTATTGTTTAGTTCACTGGAGAGAATACAATTCTTTTGAATGTAGATTTGGGAAGTGTTAAGTAATATTCAATTTGTACTTTTCTAAGAAGGGTGTTTTGCTGACTAATTCACAAGCCCACACGTGATAAACATCAGATATTTTCTAATCTGTCAGCAGGAAGTTATCACTTTTCATCTTCCTGCAAAGCATTTATTTCTTTGAGAAAATATCATTGTAGTCATTGTACAACCTGTACATTAGATAAATTTATATTTTTTACAGAAGAGATTAAGTTTTTTATATATATATTGTATTTGTTGGTCTAGTTTCGTTGCGGAAAATGATCAAAATGTTTTATAGCAGGTCATGCAGAGTTTTGACTCAACTGCTGGATAGTCATGTTTAACTTTTTCCGTGTGGTTTGTGCAGATGTCAGCTAATCTCAAGTCATGTGCAAT